CTTTTCTTATGTGTACCACTTATTGTTAAAGCCTTAAAAACACACAATTTTACCTAAAAGTGGTAAAAACTAATTCTTAGTTTAAACATGGTGAATGAAATATAGATTTATTAAGTTTGTTTTTTTATTGACATTTTACTGAACAGTTTTCTAGCTCAGGTTGTAAAATAAAAAACAGAGTAAAACTGCATAATAAAACAAATAAAGCTTTGAGGACATTCCAGTAAAATGTTTTCCTGGTGAATAACGCGGTGTGGTCTGTGGTGTTTCAGGAGGTCGAGGAGACTCGGTGACTTTAAGGTCAGCTAAAAGTGAAGAATCGCTCAGTTCTCTGCATAATGTTGAAGGTAACTCCTTTARTCTGACTCCATATGTTGGATAAATGTGTTCATCCTGTTTTCAGTCTGATTGTGGAGGACAAACTGGTTTTGAAAAGCTTCTGTCCTCCTTCAGGAGAGTCCAAGGCCTTCCGTCCTCAGCGGCCACGCTCCAGCAGCGACGCTCTGTCGGCGTCCTTCAACGGCGAGCTGCTGGACAGCCAGCAGCTCTGCAACTCCTACGACAACCTGGACGCCACCGAGGACAGCGAGGGGGACGACGGGCCCATCTGCGTGCCCGCCCTGATCTCGCCTCCCCGCTCGGCAGGGGAGGACGTGGACTTCAGTCCTCCGGACACCGGCATGGCCTCGCTGGACTTCGACCCCATGTCGTTCCAGTGCAGCGTGCCCGACGCCTCCTGCGCCTCCTTCCCTTTAGAGGAGCCGGCAGCCGGGCCCGACGGCTCCGCGCTGAAGAGGAGTCCCGGCAGCGTCTGCACCAAGTCCAGCAGCTCGGACCTCGTCTCTGCCTCCTTCCCSGGCAGGTTGTTGTCCGCAGACGGCAGCAGGAAGCTCACTTCTTACTGTTACACCGAGAAGCCCACACAGGCCGTCTCACCCATTAAATATGGGAAGACCACCAGCTTGACTCATTTTGCCACTTTAGAGCGTTTGTCCTCAGAGACGCCTGACAAGGACCCAGCTGGACAGACGTGTTCTCCTCCTGCTCCTCTGCAGAGCTCGCCCCCCCTGAAGGGCGGCGTGCTGCTGAGGGCAGCTGAGCCGTCCCTGACCGAAGCCTTCCAGGTGGAGCTGCAGTCCAAGCTGGGAGCTTTTGACCCGAGGACAGACGACAGAGCAGCTGTCAGCAGCCACGAGATGCCAGGTAGGAGCAGAACACACACCTGTGCAGGGGGGCGGGGCTTGTGACCAAAGGCTTTATTACAGTATACTGTCACATGATTAAATCCTTTATTAATATTTCATTCAACACTTTTATGTAGTTAGGTTGATCCTCTGATAAAAACATGAAACCTGCTGCTAACAGCTGCTAACAGCTAACTGTGGCTAACAGCTAACTGTGGCTAACAGCTAACTGTGGCTAACAGCTAACTGTGGCTAACAGCTAACTGTGGCTAACTCAGGCATGGGCAATCCTGGTCCTGGGGGGCCGCAGCCCTGCATGTTTTACTTGTTTCTCTGCTCCAACACACCTGATATGACTGAACAGACGATTATCAGGCTTCTGCAGTACGGAGGACCAGAACTGATATAATTAGAAATAAAAGCAGAATTATATGAACCAATAAATAAATACACTTAAAATGCACCAATTAAATTAAAAAAGGAGAACTTTATCTCGTTTTATATTTTAAATGACTTTCATACTTTATTTTACTGGCCTTTAACTCAACTGAGATTTGATTTTACTCAACTTTTACTGTGTTGGTGCTGATTTTACTTATTTAACTGTGTGATTTTATTGTGTTTTTGTATTGAGTTTTTATTTTCACGTGTTCAGCACTTTGTTTCAGCAGTGGCTGATGTTATAGCGCTTTATAAATAAAGTTTGATGATGATGATGATTTTTCCAGGTTAGTTCCAATAAATTAGTCAATATGCTTGAACACATAATTTAAGTTTTTTTAAATACTTATTAATTGTTTTTCCTTTTACTTGTACATGCATTTGTGTGTCTTAAATGTTTAAACTTAATTATTTTTTTTCCAACAGGTCTTTTTATTTCTATGTGTTGCATGTTTGTGCTGCCTCAGTTTAGCTAAAGTTTTAAAGTTTTGTTTAAAACAATGGCAAGAAGGAAAAAATTACCTTTATTTTGAACTAAAGTTTAAGCTAAACTGAGGCAGCACAAGCGTGCAACACATAGAAATAAAAAGACTTGTTGGACAAAATTATAAAAATAATTCAATTTAAGCATTCAAGAGACACAAATGAATGTACAAGTAAAATAAAAAACTGTAAAATACATATTAAAACAACATTAACATTTAAATTACGTGTTAACATTATTTATTTATATTAATTTATTGGAACCAAGCTGGAAAAATAAATGTGACCCATCACATCGAAACGAGGATTAAGTCCAAAATGTGGTACATGGAGAAATAGGCAAATATAGTGTTTTGACTAAAATGTTAACAAAAATTGCATTTTGTCAAAATAAAATGAATAAATACATGCTTTATCAATGTATCAAGTGTCTTCAGTCGGAGGCTTCTTCAACTTCGCTGTAACACAGACGCTACAGAAGATCTCTCCTGCCCACAGCCATCACCATCTACAATAAGTTTTTACTTAAATGAGTTACAACAACACCTAATTTCCCTCTGGGATCAATAAAGTATTTTTGAATTGAATTGAATTTGAATTTGAATGAACTGTCTGAAATATAATCATAAAACAAAATTCAGAAGCACTTTTTTGAGCAGTAGCAACAAAAAACCCTGATTTTGAGGAAAAACGCCTTAAAATTTTGAGATTTTCCCTGTGAGCTAGCAAAGTTTTTTTTTTCTGGATGGCCTCCCTTCTCCCCTTATAGCCATCCTCTCCACACCATTATGATTTTTTTGTGAAGAGAAAATAGAGAGAGAGAGAAACAGAGAGAAGTAATTAGAAAGATTGAAATAGTGATTAGAAGTATATTAAATTTACACCAACAAAACACAGGACCACACACCCAACATCTGTCCGCTCACCTGAAAAATAAATGGATAAATACATGGAGGGCATATATAAAAATATACACATACCCATACATATATAAAGATATACATACATATATGCCTACATTCATAAATATTGTCAGTTTATACACACAGACATATATACACACTCAGTGACCAGTCAGAACCCCCGGATCAGAACACCTGTTTGTGAGCGGTTGTGAACATGRGTGTACATACAAGATTTCTCCAATGGAATATTTAATAGTGACTGTGGAGGACCGAGACCCAACCCCCAAGTCACGAGGCAGACATAGGGAAGACCAGAGCCCAAGGGCCCGAGAGGGATCCCGAGCGCAGAGCCCCAAGGGGCACCCGCACGGGAAGATCCACCCACCCACCCCCCAGATCAGACCATTGGGGAGAACTGGGAGAGTCCCCCCAGCGACCACACTAACAGCCCCCGGGGCCAGCAGCGACAAACTCATGGGCCCCACCGGCACCCGCCATACCAGAGCAGATCCAGGAAAGAGCACAGAGGTCCGGGCCCCCAGGGCGCACCCCCTCCAGGCCAAAGCCCAACAGTTCCAGAGGTCCCGAGCCCCAGCAGGCAGTCACCAGGCCAGGCCGGCACACACCCCAGCGCCCAGCCCCAGACCCCGGGAACCCCCAGCATGCCGGCGGCCAGCTGCACACCCCACCGGGGGGCCGAGCAGCAGCGGGCCCCCAGAAAAACCAGCAGGAGGGGCAGCCCAGACCGCAGCCTGACAAATACCCAAACATACACAATCGCACCATCCCACCCTCATCCTCACCCCCACTCAATCAAAGACATACAAGGACGCCACATTCCACTCATCATGAATTTGAATGAACTATCTGAAATATAATCATAAAACAAAATTCAGAAGCACTTTTTTGAGCAGTAGCAACAAAAAACCCTGATTTTGAGGAAAAACGCCTCAAAATTTTGAGATTTTCCCTGTGAGCTAGCAAAGATTTGTTTATTTATAGCTGGGAAATCTCAATAAAATATAATTTGAGGTTTCCTCTTTATAAGGACATCAAAAAATCCTCATTAAAATGACATCAAATTAGCATTCAGACCAAATATTTATGTATTATTGTAACCAACAAGACAAATTAAGTCATATTTATGGATTTAATTATGACATCTGAATGATCCAGGTATCAAAATGTAGCTTTTAAAGCCAAGAATCTGAAAATATAATTAGGTCATTTTGACCAAATTTGACTTAATCCTCATTTCGATATGATGGGTCACAAATATGAAGGTCAATAAAATTATAAAACATGAGGTAAAGTTCTCCTTTTTTAATTTATTTGGTGCATTTTAAATGTATTTATTTATTTAAAGGTTCATTTTTCTATTTCTGCTTTTATTTCTAATTATGCCAGTGTCGGTCCTCCACACTGCAGAACTTGAAGAGGTAGTTCAGTGACTGAATCAGGTGTGTTGGAGCAGGAAACATGTAAAACATGTAGGACTGCGGTCCTCGGGGACCATGGTTGCCCACCCCTGGTAGCTATTGAACTGTTTAAAACAGAAAAAGAACTGGTTTAGATGAGTTCAGTGAGTTCACAGGAAACTCTTTAKCTGAAGAGGATCCCCTGGTTCTGGTCAGGTTTAGTGTTTTTGTTTGTGTCTAACCTGGACAGAATGTGTTGTCTTGTAGAAAAGAGCATGCTCAGCTGTTTCTCACCTGCCTCCCTCCCTCGGCTTGATTCTGGGCATGTTCCTTTGTTTCTGTGTTCCTGKTAGAAGTCCAGACTCCAGACTCTTCAAAGGACCTGACCTCACCTTCCCTCAGCTCCACAGCTCCTGTCCCTCCGCCCCCTCCCCCTCCTAAAAGCGCCTCCTGCATGTTGACCCTGGCCCTCAGCGAGTCAGCCCAGCAGCTCCCCAGTCAGTCTCAAACCCCCACCCCGGGGTCTCCTCTGCAGCTGCAGGAGGTCTCTCACTTTCAAGAGTCCTGGACTGCAGCTGAGGAGGGAGCGGCGACGAGCCGGTCCCCACCCCCACGCAGCAGCTCGTCCTGTCTGACCCCGTCCAGTCCCACGGTTAGACTGCAGTCAGCAGAAGGAGCCGGTCCAGTTTCCAAACCATCGTCCAGTTCCTCCACAACTGCTGCTGGAGCTCAGCCAGACACGCACTTCAGCCCTCCAATCACTCCATCATACAAGTATGTCCGACTCCCCGGCTCCACCAGCCTCACGTCTCCCAGCAGGACCAGTCCAGAGAGCCCGCTTCACAGCAGCTCGTCCAGAACCGCTCCAGAACCCAGTCCTGGTGACACGGTCCCACCACCTGTCCCTGAGGTAAACATGGTCCTGGCTGATGGTGTGTAGTGTGAGAAAACCCTGGAGGTTTAGACTCCCAGACAGGGTTCCTGCAGATCCTTAAAAAGTCTTAAAAGGCTTTGAATTCATCAATCCAAAAATAAGGCCTTAATTAGCCTTAAAATGTCTCAAATCGATCTGAGGTCTTAAAAATGTTAACACATTATAAACAGGAAGACTGTATTTGTCTCAAATATTTAAATAATTGGTAATATTTCTTTATTTATTTATTTTAAACAATTTACCAAATTTACCGCAGCTAGTTGTTTTGAGTTAAAATAAACATTTGGGTAATTTTTTTTTCACAATTGTGTTTATTGTGAAGTTGGTCTTAAATTTCCTTTCAAGTGGCATTAAAAAGCATTAAAAAGCATTAAAAAGTCTTAAATTGAACTTGCCTTAAGCTGTAGGAACCCTGCTCGAGATGGGAGACAGTGAGGACGTGATGTTTGTCTGACCTGGTTATCACAGTCCTGTAGATGTGTGGGTAAATCATCATCGTTAGTTGATTTTATCCATTCAGTTTTCTCTCCTCTGTTCTTAGCCACGGCTAAACGTCTCTTCCTCACTGGTAGAGGTGAGTGAGGTGGCTTCTGTTGAATTTTATCGTTACAACCAGTTCAGTGCTACTGAGACTTTTATTCATCCTGGTCATTTTCAAAAATGAATGTAAGAGCTGCTTTGAGTGACACGGCCCTCCAGTTGCTCATCTCTGATGTTTTCCTCTGCTTCATCTCTGTTGGCAAATACCTGTAGTACGATGGTCCAGTGCAAATACACGTACCATTACACCAGTTAAATATACTTTTGAATTTTGTGGTCAAATTTAACTAGTGCAGTGGTACGGTTAACAGTTAGTTCACATATATGTCAGACGTGACCCGTATGATGAAGACGAATGAATTTTCAATGGAACCTAAAGATTTTCTGGCAATCGAGGCTGTCCATCACAAACTATCTGGTCCTTCAGACGACTCACTATTAATAATCTAAGTGCCAAATAACCAACAAAACATGAATGTGTTCGATTCAGGGAAAACTATTGGAAATACAGTAAATATTTCCATTCTTAATTTTAAAGGTTTGTTAAATTCTGTCCTGTAAATAGTTTTAATATAGCATCCATAATATACATTCTGAAATTAATAAAATGTAGATTCATGAAGTGTACATATTTATATCAATTAAAATAGTACTAGCTATAAACAAACCCATGTTCCTATAC